TTGTTGGTTTTTCATTGAATAGGGTTGACCATTGGTATACCAATTTATTTCCAATTATATCTTACATAAAACTGTTGAGAAGAAATTATCTGAAGATGGTACACAAAAATAAAGTCTAAATTGACATAATAAAAAGATAATGGAATGTTCGAATAACTCAAATGTAAATTAACTGAAAATTACAATACAATTTTCTTAGTTGATGTTTTATTAGAGAGTAATATAAACCTAATGTACATATGCACACCGTAAGTTCCACTTAGCCCAAAGTTTTTCCCATATTCAAGAAAAAAACATCAATAAATCGATGATCAATAAAAACATTCTTTTATCGACCTTTTTGGGTATTTTTACCTTCCATAATTTGAAAAATATGAAAATTATATTGGAGATCTCTATACAAGTGTAGAAAGGGCAAACTTTTTAGTTTACCCCGATAAGAAACTATGTAAAATCAAAGTATTTTTCACAAAGAAAAATGTTCTATTTATCAGTACCTTGTCGCATTTAACAATTTTGCCTATCAAAAAAATTGCTAAGAAATAATACAATACTTATTTTAACGTTTCGGAGGCCAAAATCTGCCTGCGTCTTCAGAAATGGACAAAAAATTCAAATGCAGGTATTTGCAGTTATTCCTTTGCTGATTATTTATTTCTCAACTTCTTCGACAGATGTCAAAGGAGTTTTGAAATGTGAAATAATGTCAGTGTTGTTGAGTAACAACTGAAACATTCGATGTAATACATGATGCTCCGATATCAGTCTGTTGCCATTTTGCCACACTCCAAATTTTCCTTCAAGATGGGTATGCAAGTACGATTTATTTCTAAGGAGCTATTCGAAATAAAATCAATCATCTCCAGATATGAGAATATACACTTTTAGTTTACGTTTCTTAAAATGAGGCTCATGGGTAATCATTCTTGTCTTGTTCCATTCAACTCGATGTTCACCATCAGACCGTCTCAGAACACATTTTAAAATCAGACAGTGAACATCGAGTTGAATTGAACAAGACAAGAATGATTACCAATGAGCTCCACTCTAAGAGACGTAAGCTAAAAGAATCAGCGTATATTCTCAATTCTCATATCTGGAGAGGATTGTATTTCGAACAGCATCTTTGAAATAGATCGTACTTGGCTACCCTTCTTGAAGAAAAATTTGGATAGTGGCGAAATGTCAACAGACTGATATCGGAGAGTACCTTGTATTACATCGAATGTTTCAGTTGTCAATCAACAACATTGACATGATTTCACATTTCAAAACTCCATTGACATCAATCTGTCGAAAAAATTCAGAAATAAGTAATCAGCAAAGATATAACTGTAAATATCTTTGAATTTTTTGTCCGTTTCTGAAGACGAAACGTTAAGATAAGTATTGTATTATTTCTTAGCAATTGTTGATAGGCAAAATTGTTAAATACGACAAGATACTAATAAATAGAACAGTTTTCTTCGTAAAAAATACTTCAATTTTACGCAATAACTTATCGGGGTAAACTAAAAAGTTTACCCTGTCTATACTTGTATAAAGTTCTCCATTATAATTTTCATATTATTCAGATTGTGGAAGTTAAAAATACCCAAAAAAGGTCGATAAAAAACTGATTTCCCTCCACAAAAAATTACTTTCGTTCAATAAAAACGTTCTGTTATGGATTTATTTACTAAATTATGAACTCTCTATATCATTTTTAATGAAATCAAATATGACAAGCAGTTTCTGTTGAATTATTCAACAAGAATACTAAATATAATGACCTGAATAATTCAGATTCATTGACAACCTCATACACAACTAGACATTAAACTGGACACACACAACTAGATGGTAAAGTTGATTATAAGAATAACGTTGGAAAAAAAGGGTTGGATTTTCTACTTCTCCATCGTCATACAAGAAAATGTGGGTAATGAAATAAGCATTTAAAAGTAATATTTCATCAATGAAAATAATAAAAGAACTCAAGAATGACTGGACCAATTTTTATGATTTTTGTGGTTTTGGATTTCTCTTCTTCGGGAATAGGATAATGGATATTGAAATATGGTATTTTATCAACAAGAAAATAATAATGATGATTATAATAATAATGAAAGAACTGGAGAACGGCCGGACCAATTTTTATGATTTTTGTGTTTTTGGATATGTCTTCATTGGGAATTGGATATAAGTATTGAAATGTTGATATTTTATTAATAAAAATGATAATAATAGAGGCAAAACATCAGTGATAAAAGTGACATGTTATAATAAAACGCAACGGACAGCTCACATGTATATCACAGGGTGCTTTACTGAAGAGTGCACTCTTACTACCAATTTCCATTTATTTTAGAATATACTAATACTATTTATTTTATTACACTTAATAATTTTGTATCAATTTTAAAATCCTAAATCTGCTTATTCATTGTTAGGCGGAACGACGTTCGCCGGGTCCGCTAGTTTACAATAAAAATCTGATGCATTAAGAGCGCCGGGAAAAAAAAAATTAGCCCAAACCAAAAAAGATTGGAATCCTTTGTTATATAGCAAACTCGTGATTTCCATTGAAAAAATTAACAACTTGAACTCCTTCAAAAATGACGTAAAAAAACAATTGTTATTCGAATCTTTTCTTCACACGATCTTCGAATGTTCTCATAATAGGGGAGCCCAAGCGGGTATTTCAGGATTTACTAAAGCGCGGCAGATTAATATACAGGGGGATATCTTGTACACGGTTAAGTACCTCCACCGAATATGAGCCCCATATATAAGGCCGCCTGTGAAGGATAAAGGATCAGATTAGTAAAAAAAATTGATCATCAGAAATTCTCGAGCGCGTCGGATTGAGGTAGGGTGAGTTAATTACATGCTGAAAAGTGTATATTCCATTAATCTGACAATTTGAGAGTGACCTAAAGAAAGGGGAGGGCAGCAAAGTTGTAAAAAAATAACGTCATTTCGACATTCTCAAGCGTAGCTATTTTTTTTTATTTTGAAGGAAATGATACAAGGATAACAAAAAATATATAATTTGACGATTTCCGAAAGCCGAAATATCAAAAATTCGTCGATAAAGTTTAATGCGTGCAGCTGTGTGATACCTATATTTCCCTCTCCAAGTTTCTATTCCTCTATTCTCTATTCACTTTTCCTCTATCTATTACTCTCTCACACCGTCCCCACTCTGAATTCTGTTGCCATGACTCGTTCGTGATGAAGATGATTAATTAATCAATTAATTGATGGATGTAGCCGTTACTACGTGGTAGGAAATCATAATGAAGAAAAGTGAAATTAAACTTTCTATGTTTTTTACCACTTTTATTTGTAACTAACGTTACTGTAGTTTCGTCCTATAAGGACATTTTCAAACTTTTACAATATACAGTGTGTCTCACTTCTCATGGAAACACCCCCGTATCTTTCGTAATATTCGAGGTAGAACGATGAAACTCTCAGTACTGATGGAAATGCTCAAAATGCACCTACCACCTGAATGGGGTTAGCCAAAGTGATATACACTGTCCGCCACTCGCGATGGAACACCCCATTTTACGGTAAAACATATCAGGGGGCAAAATAAGCTCAAAATTTCTTCAGATTCGTGATCAGGACTACCAACTTACTACGAAAACACCACTTTTTTCCTGAAAAAATTTCAGTAAAAATGGAGTGTTCCATCGCGAGTGGCGCACAGTGTATATCACTTTGGCCAACCCCATTCAGGTGGTAGGTGCATTTTGAGCATTTCCATCATTCCTGAGAGTTTCATTGTTCCACCTCGAATATTACGGAAGATACGGGGGTGTTTCCATAAGAAATGAGACAAATTCGGATTTTTCAGGACTGACATTTTTTCAGGAAAAAAGTGTTTTCGTAGTAAGTTGGTAGTCCTGATCACGATCCTGAAGGAATTTTGAGCCTATTTTGCCCCCTAATATGTTTTACCGTAAATTTCATCGTTCTACCTCGAATATTACGAAAGATACGCGGGTGTTTCCATGAGAAATGAGACACACTGTATTAGGACATTTTCAAACTTATACAATATATAAGTTTGAAAATTATAGGACGAAACTGCAGTAACGTTAGTTACAAATAAAAGTGGTAAAAAACATAGAAAGTTTCATTTCTCTCTTCTTCATTAACTAATCGATTGATTATAAAAAAAATTAATTTTTTTGAGCATTCTTTTTAAATTATTTTCTTATAAATACAAGTATTCTACTCAAAAAACATATTTCCTGAGCTTTTCAATTAATTAAGTTCAATGAATTGAAAAAAAATTTAAAAAATATTGTTTTTGTCAGATTAAGCGAATCCCTCTAGATAATCGTCAGATTATGAGACAGCACGTCTAAAACATAAAGATAACCCATATATATCCTAATCTGACACGCTTGAGTATTTCAAAATGGCGCATTTTAATGATGGCAGCGAGTTTGGTCAGAACCAAATCGTCAGATTATTGAATGAGAGCTTTTTTTGTTGCACTTAACACCCCCTTAGAAAATCTGACGCGCTCGATTAAATTTTTTTTCTTTTCACTTTTAACCCTTACGTACAACCACCCACATCATGCAAACGATCAGATTAATATACCAACATTATTAAAAATACGTAGGACATTGATGTTATCAATATCTGGCATGCTCGAGTATGTCCATGTAACAGTATTTTTTTACATATTTAAAAATCTATAGCCGCTTCTCCCACCGATGAAAAGGTATATATCATATAACATTTTCTTCTTCTTATCTTCTAAGCTTTGCAACCTAATATGTCTCAATGGGCTCCCCTGCTATCAGTACGATTTAGTGAACTGAATATCTTGGACATTATTGTACATTAGTTACATGACCTTAAATATATATATTGTAATTTCACTTTTGGTATCCTATTTCTTTGTCGGATACACTTATTGATTTTTTTATTACTTCTACTTCTAATTATTCGAAAACAATTTATCATTGTATTCAGAAAAAAGTTCAACTTACTGCATAATTCAAACCAGTAAGGTCCGCTTCACCATTTTGTAGCCACTCATAAAACTCCATGGCATTATCTGTTGGATCTCCTTCGCCATAAGTTGCCAGACAAAATACAGCCAAAGAATTTGGAATTGTCTTCAAATTCACTAGTTCTTCCTGAAAATAACAAGATAGCATTAAGAATGTTGTCATCTCTTATAGCTTAAAAAATCAATTTGAATGATGATACGGAACGTATAATAAAGGAGACAATATGGATTTCTAGTAGACTGGAACATAGGAGTTGCTATCTTCTTATACGCTTTAAAACAAGATAATAAATACACTCTCGGACAAAAATATTGCATATTCTATTTCAAGATTTTTTTTATGTTAATTTCTTTTCCCTTAACACTTTATTAATTTTTATTGATAAATATTCAGAGGCCAAAGTATTTTACGTAAATTTCCATTCAGTATAGATAATGCTTTGACATAGTTGCATAGCTGAATAAGTAAAATAATGGTACAAATTACAAACTTTGAATATTGTTCCTTTGCTACTATTGATGTCTACTGCATTTCATCAGTTCGGACTTCCATTGTCTAATATAATATAAATTGATTTGAAATCCCTGAAAGAATCTGTAAAAAATTAAAAAGATGAGCTGAAGAAATAACAATTTTCATTAAACAAAAAACTTAAATTACAAGGAAATAACATACAAGCAGCAACCAAGACAATATTGAAAAGTATCCGGTAAATGCAATTCTTGGAATCGCATTGACGAGCACAATAAACATACACAGTGAGGAGAAACCAGCAAATCAGGAATAGCAGAGCATTTTGTCCAACAACGCATTTGGCCAAGCTATCGTAAACAGATACGCAACATATGAAAATATCTAATCAAGCGGAACACGGCCAACTCCCTCCAAACGGTCAGCTTCAGCTGAAACCGGATAGGGAATAGGTGAAAGCACTCGAATGACCTATAAATAGTCAGATCTCGGAGGAATAAGTCCAGTTATCACCTGAAGACGAGTGTGGATACTAACAATCGAAACGTGGTGAAGTAACTTGGTTTGGAATCTTTTGATTTTTAATTTTCATTTCTTGTTAATAATAATTTTGTAATTTTCAGCTCGTGTGAATAGTTCAATTTTTTTGTTTTTTTTTGGGTTGCTGCTTGTATGTTATTTCTTTGTAATTTCAGTTTTTGGTTTAATAAAAATGGTTATTCTTTCAGCTAATCTTTTTAATTTTTTACAGATTCTTTCATGGATTTCAAATCAATTTATATCATACTAGTACTATGTTGTTGTATCGCTGCTGTTCCAATGTTTTGACAGAATCAGAATCAACGAACTTAGGCGTGCGCAGCGTTATAGAACAGTGCTTTCAAAAATTGATCTACAGTGCCAGCTTGTGGCGAGTTACAGAAAAAACTGATAGCCTAAAAACCTTCTCTATGAAAAATTACTTATACGTGTCAAGTTTAATCACGATCGGTTGAGCGACGTAGAAGTTTATCACTTACCAACCAACCAACCAACCGACCGACCAACAAACATCCATTTTTATATAGTAGACTAGTACTATGTTGCTGCATCGCTGCTGTTTCAATGTTTTGACAGAATCAGAATCAACGAACTTAGGCGTGCGCAGCGTTATAAAACATTGCTTGAAAAAAATTGTTCTACAGCGCCATCTCGTGGTGAGTTACAGAAATATTGATAGCCTAAAAACCTTCTCTATGAAAAATTATTTATACATGTCAAGTTTGATCACGATCGGTTGGGCGATGTAGTTTATCACTTACCAAACAACCACAACAAACATCCATTTTTATATAGTAGATTAGACAATGAAAGTCCGAACTGATGAAATGCACCACGAAACATTGTCAATCACCTCCAAACAATGTTTTATTATTCTCAGAATGACATTTCGAGTACTATATGTCTTGATTCTGTAGTTTTCTTAGTGAGATGCCGCATTTGAGCGAATTAGTAGGTGTTGAAATTGTTACTTTAGTCAATGAGAGATGCAGACAAGAACATATTGCACGGAGATTGCATATCCATCAATTGACTTTTTCTCGAATTGTGAAGCGATACAATGAGACTGGGGAGTACAAAAGGCGGCCTGGTCAAGGACATAAGAGATATTCAACGCCAAGAGATGACCAATATTTGAAAATTCAATATTTGCGAAATCACACGTTCTTACTGAGCACAAGTAAGTGTCAAAACAGTAATAAGAAGGCTCAAAGAAGTTGGTTTAAATCCAAAACGCCCTGCCAGAGTTCCTAGGTTTCTTCCACGTCACAAGTCTAGACGGTTACAATTTACCATAGCCCATGTCAACTGGAACGAACATCAGTGGGGATAAATTCTTTTCACAGATGATACAAGAATACAATTATAGAAACCAGATAGTGGTGGTCGACAATTCAGAAGATCTGGAGAACTTTTTACAGAATGTAATCTTGTACATAACGTCAGCTTTGGTGGTGGTTCCATTGTGTTGTGAAATGGCATTAGCTGGGACAGTCGTACCGAGCTTGTTTACATGTTTCACCTTACGGCGGCTTCATTGGTTACGACAATTTTGTGCTCATGCATGACAATGCTCGTGCACGTGCTGCAAGAACAGTCACCCAGTATCTTGAAGTTGTTGGACTTGAAGCAGTGGAGTGGCCACCAAACAGTCCTGACCCATATCCCATAAAAAATATTTGAGACATCCTAAAAAGACATATACGACCACAAAATTCAACTTCTTACTGTTGAACAGGAAGAATGGAATCGAATTCCACAAAAAACCATCAAAGACCTTTTGCGGAGTATGCCCAGGAGGATGCAGGCTATCGTTAGAGCTAGGGGAGGAAACACTAAGTACTGAACTGTCATTATGTTGCCTCAAAGAACTTTCATTTTGTCGTCATTGTTCCTTGTTTTGATTAGATATAATTACCAAAACTAATCTATTTCAGTACTTCTTCTACAAGGGTGTTATAAAGTTTCAATATCTGGATTATTTAGCAATAAATATACATTAAATACTTCAGCATATACCATTTAGTAATAAAAACTGCATAAATATTGAGACAAATATAAATGAACATAGCATCAAGGCTTAAAATAAAATACGCAAAATTTTTGTCGGTGAGTGTGTAACGATCAAATCGACCATTAGTCAAAGATACAACATATTCATGAATGATCATATTCAAAAAAGTTTGAAATAATGTCAGAGTATTTGCCGGATTATATACACGTGTAAGATTACTATTAAAAAATGGACAGAAAGCCCACAGAAAATGTTACAATTTTAGGTGAACAGGAGAAAAAGGAATATTTCGAAACGCACATGGAATTAATGTACAGGTCATACAAATATTTTTTTATATCAAATATTACCTTTTATGAATTTTTGTGAATCCGCTTTTGAAGTTGTAGGAAAAGATTCACCTGAATGATTTTTTCTCAAAGATGATACGAATGTATGAACAGTGCAGTCGACAGAGACATTCATTTTGAACTAGTAACTGTTGTCTCGACATCATCATTTTTATCAGCACTGAAAAAATTTTCAGCTCGGCTGAAAACATTTTTATAATATATACAATCGACAGAAAAAACTTCATTGGTATGAGACAATTGGATGGTAAACATAGATTAGTCTGGAATTATAGATTATTCGTTTGTTTAAGGAATCAAATCTATTTCAAGTGCACCAACAGCAGCCCCTGTGAGAAGGATGGTGGGGACTTCCCATTTAAATTTTGAAAAAAAAATTGAGGTTCGGCGACCTAGGAAAAATTGCTAACGATAAAGTATAGCAATGAACATTATTTGAAAATCTTGACATTATGCTTATTATTAGCCTTATCTCAAAATTATACTACTGGTTGAAAAAAAATGATGAAACAAAATTTCTTTCTTCGAGATAGTTTAAAAATTAAATGGTGAACACTAGCCAACCAAAGCCACGATAAGTAAAAATTTAACGTCGTTTCTATTTCCGATAAAAAAGTGAAGTCCCCAGTATCTACAATCAACATGCTCCAGTTCTGTAAAAGCAGGGATCCGTAAACTTCCATTATCTATACCTTTTTTAAATAAAAATTTCAGTAGGGTAAATTTCAAAATGAATTGATCTAGGGACCAATCCGTAACTTTCCGTTTTGTAAACTTGTACTTGCATTTTGAAATTTTGACATTAGTTCACTGCCATTGATGAATTATATTGTCTTATACGGAGTGAACCATCCAAGTATCCCGAACAGACAAAATTAATTCCAGCTATATAGTCATTAACTCTTTCTGCAGTTGATTCAGTAGGATGTACCACTGCGCCACTTGCAGACAAAGTCCGCGAACAACTCCACAAATACATACTCCGGGGTGGGAATCAGAATAAAAAATAAATATTTTCCGGTGCATATGACATACTCAAGTTTGGGTGAAATCGTCTAATATCTGCCTCTCATGTGATCCTATGACTTTGTAGGTACGTGTGGCAGATACCCCAGCACATGCTGGGTTAGTTTGTTGTTCTGTTTTTCCGTCGGGTATCTGCCACACGTACTAATAAAGTCATAGGTACTCCGTAACCTGCAAGCAGCTTCATCGGACCAGAACCTGTCATTGGCATCGCTTTAAGCTTTACCAAACAAACATTGAACACTTGGATGGCAAGAAGATTTATGGACTTCTGGCAGAATCTTCCAGGAATGGCTCACTGCAAAGCGTTTATTCACCCTTCGAAGTTTCGTTAAGAAGCTGGACTTATTTGGTCGAGTTGGTCGAGTGTGAATAGATGTGAGCCACAATAAACCCTTGCGGGATGTGGTGGAGGGTCGAATAAACCCACTCACTTTGTACCTGACATAACCTAACCTATCCTTCAGATATCAAAAACAAATGAAAATTCAACTGAAGAAGCATTTCTTTTGAAACTTAATATCATTCAGTTATCATCAGATATCCGGAGTCGCTTCGTTTCTAGATACAGGGCGTTGAAGTTTAAAAAAACGGTACTTATAAAATATAAATATCCTTACATCGATTTGGTTGAAATTTGCTACAAATAGTATGGACAGTTCTAAAAAGAAACCTTCTATACCCATATCACATATAGCGGGTCCAATCAATACTGCCTCGGGATTTTCACGCGAAATTAACGTTTTGCACATGGTAATGACTTGTTGTTGTAATATGTTGCAGATGCTATTGTGAAGTTTCACAATGACCATTTTTTTGGCCAACAAAAATCCCTACGTTATTAGAAAAAGTCATGTTCATCAACAATTTTCGCTGAACGTTTGGGTAAGTATGATTGGTGACTACATGATTGGCTTATTTTTTCTATAAGCAAGATTAACAGATTATTCACCCATTTTGTTGAAAGTAGTACCGGTACTTGTAAGAGGCAACATGTGGTTTATGTACGACGGGGTTCCAGCTTCTTTTAGTGTTCTTGCTCATCAGTATCTCGATATAACCTATCCTAATCGCTGGATTGGACGTGCAGGACCTCAAAATTGGCCTGCTCGCAGTCCTGATATGAATCCTCCAGATTTACATTTATGGGGTTATTTGAAGGCTCTTGTTTATAAAACTCCTGTACAATATGTAAATGACTTGAGGAATTGAATAATTGACAATTGCAATGTCATAAGGAATACTCCAGGTAGTTTTGAACATGTCAGACGATCAATGACAAATAGATTGCAGTCGTGTATTTTATCAAATGGTGAACGTTTTTTTCATTTACTTCAATGTCGAAATTGTTTATAATTTACTTTTTGTTTTTATTTCATGTTGTCCATGGATAGTTTTTAGAAGTGTTGTTTTTCCAAGAAAATGAAGCTTGATATGAATAAAACACTAGCGACGAAAAAGTTGTATTTTTAGTTGCTATTTCAAAAAAAAACTGCAAAGTCAGTGGCGTTCTTTTTTTCTCAATATTGTTGGCTGTAGTGCCCAGTGAGACGCCACTGGACCTAATAATTTCAATCTAGTTCGGACTAAATAAGCGCCTATTATTACTTTTTAAACTATTATTACTTTGTAAACTTCGATTCCCTGTATATCAGAAACGAAGCAACTCCGGACGACAACTTCAATCATCAGAACGTTTTTTCATAAAAAGTTTTAGCGGGGTACTTTTACAGATCTGCCACCAAATTATGAAAATGCAATATAAACTCATTCCAATGTTTTCTGCTCATGAACTTTTTTCTTCAAATATCATAAACGAATAAAAAATCAGCTAAACAAGCATTTCTTTTCAGACATTATATCAATTAGTCATTATCAGTTATTATTAAACAAATATTTTTTTTGAGAAAGAAAGTTTTTGGCTTTCTACTACTCCATCTGATACAAAAAAAAGGATGAGAGAATCTTCCAAAGGAAGGAAGGAAGTAATCAATTTGAAACTCATACATGAATGTGTAGATCATGCAAAGAAGTAACTTTCAGATACAAACTGAAAGAAAGTCCTCCTGAAACAGCTACTTTCATATAAACATTGAATTACACGAAAGAAAATAATTCTTTTGAAACAAATACTTCTATCTGAACACTGAATTATACAGAAGATACTTTTCTCTACTCTACTCTACTCTACATACTATGATATGTATCAGATGTAGTAGTAGAAAGCCAAAAACTTTCTTTCCCAAAAAATTAATCACTCCTAAAAATATAACCCCTTCAATTTAAACAAATATATTTGAAGGTTTGATGATATGAATAATTGTGATTTTATTATCTTGTTTTTTATTTTAGGTGTCGTTTTTATCACCATTATTAGTTGAAAATGACTTTGTCAACTTGTTAACTGATTTTAAATCGAGTATCATCTCAACTTAGATGCAAGCTACAATTTTTTTTTTCGCGTTCCTCTGATTTTTTCAATTGAGTTTCGCTATAAGTTTGACATACTCTTCGCTTCCAACGTTGTATTTGTAATTGTTCCGATTATGAACAATTCATAATCTTATTTTTTTTATATATTTCAGTACATTGCACATCTGCATATTTGTCGTATACCAAGAAAACAACCCTTCTACTCATTTGTTACCTCAATATGTAAAATAATTCTACTACATATACTATGTATGCTCTCTGTAAAATACACGTACGAAATATTGCATCACAGTATCAAACTGGATTTACACCACTCGTATCATAATGCCACTTTTCCAAACATTGACACCAGTGGCGGATCTAGATGGGGGGCACAAGGGCACGTCCCCCCAGAGGATTGAAAGTACACTAGATATAATTTGGTGACATTTTGTGAGAATTTGAGACATAAGCTCAGGTCACTTCATTCATTACAAACTCAGGTACTTGAAATTTGGGTACCTCAAATTGTAAAATATAAATATAAATCATTGAATATGTAGAATTTAGTTAGAAAAGACACGCCCAAACAATTAATTTGTGAAATTGTTTATTGAAAACCTCACAATGAAGTGTTTTTTTAATAGGTGTTTTATCAAAGTTGTACCGTTCTGTTTATTGTGAAAAAGTAAACTTGTCTCTAGTCGAATCTTGTGGTTTGTGCCAACAATCATTCTTTTTTTAAAAACCAAAGGTAAGCTTGACAACATATTCTCATACTTACTTAAAATTTCCGTCTTTTTCACTGATTTTTCGTGTTCTCAATAGGTTTATAATTTTCATCACAATGTACGAAAATTGTTTAGTTCCCCTTTAAACAAGTAAAGCCCCTGATACATTGTTCAAGAGTGCCAAAGAATGAAATAGAACGAAGAAGTGGTTGAATTTCCATTCATAAAATGTATACTTGTAAGGTGCAGAAGAAAGAAAGAACTCTGTTCAATCTTGTATCCTATTGACAAATTTGTATTTTTTCTCTGTATTGTAACATGTTGTTTCTGCTGTCAATAAATTCATTTACTATTATTATACTCTGGGTTGTAAACTGTGCCCACCCCCAAATGATTTTCTGAATCCGCCACTGCCTGACACCATCTCATGTCTTTGAAAAATATAACTCACCATATCACATTCCTCCGGATCTGCAACCATACCCTTCATTCTGTACCTAACTCCTTCTTTGGCTAAACGACCCGCAAATTCTTCTCCTGTTCCAGTTTGACTGCCATAAAATACCACCACACTCCTTCCTGATGATTGTAATTTTTTTATAAACGAGGTATCCGATGTACTTTGTAACGTAATTGACGTGGGCCTGAAAAAAACTAATATAGCAGTTCAGAAAAAAAATATACTCAAACGAAACTTACTGAATAGAATAAGACCTTCCACTGGATACTGTGGTTGTTTTCTTGTGTTTGAAATACAAATAGAAGCTGACGACTGCGACTATGAACACTGACCCTATCATGTCAACGAAAGTGAACATGCCATCTGATATTTCTGGGATTTGCTGGGTTCCGACTTTTGCTTCACTCTCGGACATGATTGTACCTCCCTGAAAACCAAAAATACAAATTAAATATTGTCGAGTTCAGGTTTGGTGATAGGTAGTTGTATTCAAAAAATTTTTGAAGGATTTATCTATGGCCTAGGACAATTTGGTCACAAAATATTTTGCAATTTTTATTTACTCAGAACAGAACGAATGCAACATAACTTTCTACAAATGTTACATATTGTTTTAATAATAACAATCTTGAACAAAATATCCCTGAATTTCCAAATACATCTGCCACATATATTAACTATAAAAGTCATTTTCAACTATTAATATTTTATCCGATAAATTAGTGAATTTCAACGAAAACTCCCTATAAGAATAAGTAAGTATAGTCGAAGTAACCGACATAGTAATTCTTAAAGCTTTGGCGATCTCAAAGGCCAAAAAACCAATACAAAGGAATAATGCCGCTACGAATTAGTACACGTGGACTGAAGAATTGGCGGTTCGTATTGGATAATTTTTACTAACCGAGTTCTATGATTGGCTGAAGAGTCATAAAATTGAATTTGAAGTCATATTATGGTGCGATGAGTACCGCCGTTGTGTCGTCAACGTTCAGTTCAGGAACTGATCGCGATTTGAGTGTTGAAATTCGATATTGGTGAAGTTGTAATCACTTAAAATTTTTGTTATTTGTTTAAAATATGGCGTTCTTGGATAAGTACTAATAGTAATATAGTAATAACGAGTGTGATAATAACGCAGACTTTTTCATGTGTAGTGATTTCAATAGCGTTGGTGAACAATGCGAAAAAGAGATACCAGTGAATAAGATTCGGATGCATTTGAATATTGAAATACAGAGAGTATGTTTCAATGTATATAAGAATCTACATATCAAGTTTGGTTTCGCGGGAAAAAAACTATTACAAGCAACATCAGATTTGACCGAAATTCCTTTCTCAACTGTACGTAAAATAGGCAAAGACAAACCTTATGAACGCAAGACGCGATTTGATGGGGAATTACCAAAACCTTTATATGTTCATCTAATAAAATCATAAAAAAAAACAATATACGACTGTTACAAAAGCAATGAGATTCCTACAAATCATATGGAAGAAATTGAATACTTCCGGCCATAACGTGAGCTGCTTTGACAAAACTCTTCAGAATTGGATAAAGAAACTAGGATTTAGATTTAATATAATAAACAAACGTCAAGCAGTTATGGAAAGCAGAAGAATAGTGGAATTGCGTAACAAATACTTAGAACAAATAACTAAATATAGACAAGAACAACGGCAAATCTTCTATTTGGACGAAACTTGGTATGACACTCACGACACAGTTAGGAAAGGATGGACTGATGGTTCGAGAATGTGTATGCCTAACATGCCTACAAACAAAGGATCGCGACTAATCATTATTGACTATAATAAGAACATGGAAGCTAATATTTTTGAGGAATGGTTTGAAAACACATTGATCCCAAATGTGGATGCGAATAGTGTAATAATTCTTCTTCCTATCATTTGCGACAGATCATCAAAGTACCGAATAAAAAATCGAGGAAAGATGAAATTCAAAGATTTTTAATGGATAACAATTTGTATTTTGAAGATAACTATACCAAAAACCAACTACTTGAAGTTTAACATACAAAAACATTTGAAAAAGTGTATGCCCTTGAGAGTATTCCGAAAAATATGTACACACCATAATGAGACTTCCCCCCTATTTTTGTGTTTTCAATTCCATCGAGTTGATTTGGGAAAAATTTAAACAAAGTATCAGGCGTAAAAATAATTTTCCAAAATTTGATAAGAAGGTGATAGAGCTAGTTAAAGAAGAAGTATCTAATATTACTGAAGAATACTGGCAGAAAATGATTGAAGAAGTTATTTTAGTTAAAAAAACTATATGGAGATTGGACACTTCCATATCAATGGTGGAAATAAATTCATTATTGATTTAAATGACGACAGTGATAGTGAAACGGAGAATATGGAAGAGGAATCATCAGAAGCTTTCGAAGAAAGTTAGTGAAGTGTTTTTGAAGCGATCGATTGTATATATCTGCTATAGGGCGAACCGCGGCCTTCGTCGCACCGTCGGCCCCCGGTCGGTACCACCGCAACCGCTATGTCCCTGCCATTTAAATTACATGATATAAAGGGGCATATTGTTCTAAATTAAATGCACAATGTATTTAAGGTATATAATTGTATAAGGATTAATACTATATTGCTTAAAATCGCTTCGTATATAGCTCTACCATATTATGCTTGTTATATACATATAAACTTCCCTCATAAATCAATCTATCTTTTGAAAAAACTCGCATCAAAATCAGTAGGTAGTGATTTGTATAATTCAACCCAAAACGCTCAGATATAAATTATGAACAAAATTGTATAACGAAAGACAAATTTGTCAATTGTCATTTTCATTTTTTGAACATGAATCTAAATTAGTAAAGCACAATTTCATAATCGCTCGAACAATGATTTTGAGGGAATACAATATTTCAAATTTTAGCAGCTGAATCTGCGATGACATCATCAACAGTAAAATGCATAATGCATAATAATGAACCTGCAAAGCTCAAAGCAAAAAACGAATATTAAATTTAAAAAACAATAAACATTTCAATGTAATATTTTTGTTAGGTGAAGATATGAAACCAAATGAATTGAATAACTGAGCCTACTTTACTTCATCCAATTCAAATATTATATGTCCCTGAGCAATCCTAAAGTGAAATTTCTAGCAGTTAATAAGCTGATGGTACCTACCAATTATTATAATATCACAGTCATCACAGTGTACATCAAATTTGTAATATAGAATTAATGAATTTCAAGTGATAAAAAGCTCTAACCATGCTGATGGCGACCTATGACCCATTTTAATGCAAACGTGAATCGCATGCAAGTTGTCGGAATTAATGAAATAGAAATGTTCATGTAAAAAGATAAAACGAAAACTTATTTTCGTTTCCGACGGAGACAGTACAATTTTTTAATTGGCCAGTTAATGAATTCATTAATTATTGACGTGAAAGCAGTTTAAATGATCCATGAAAAGCTACGAATACCTTACAGGGCTCTATATTAAGATCATATCATTACAAAATCTGGAGATGAAAGTACCTAGTTATTATAAAGTCGATTTTTTCAACCTATTGTTTTTTGAGGTAACCTAACCTCTTCAGAAACATCGCATCAAAACGATGTTGGGCCGACAACTTGAATTGTTACAAAAGACATTACATCCGGATGAAAGCTTGCTCACATTATTTTTGGTGGATATCATACTTTAATCAATCAATATATCGTTTGGAGATTTTCAGGTAGACTTTTATACTCAATAAATCCTTTGAACATTAATGCTTTACTGTTGAATGTTTTTGTTTGATTATTTACATACAAATTATTTTTTATTTTAGTATTATACTGGTGGATTTGATTATTAAAAATTACAAATTTGTCAAAATTTGAGGGTAGAAGGTTATGTAACATTTTGTAAATACAAATCATCGTTAAATATGTAAGCCCACTTTCTATAGATAACCATTCTAGAGTATTCAACATTAAAGATATATGGGTACTCCTGTCACATCTCAAATTAATCCTCATTGCGCGATTCTGTAGTTTTTGTGGTGTTCTCATTTTATTCAAATCACTTATGTATAGAAGAGTGGAACAATATTCAAAATGTGGTTGTATAATTGTCTTATGTACAGTTATCCGTGATTGCATAGTTAAGAGTTGGGATACTCTTGTGAAAAAATATAATTTCTTCAAAATGTTTTTCTGCATGTAGGTGCAATGGTTATTTATTGATAGATGATTGTCTAACATGAATCCTAGATATTTGATATCAGTAATGAGCTCAATTTATTTCAATTTGATTTAAATCTAATTCTCTGTATTTAAACGATGTAGTAAGTATCATAGCCTTTGTTTTGTTTAGATTCAGCTTCAATTTATTAGTTTTTAAATATATAGCAATATTATGCAATGCTTCATACATTTTTTTAATAGCTTTATCTATCACTAACCGATACTAGGGCATCATCAGCGAAATAATGTTCATATTCACATTCATTTCATTTGCTGATATCATTAATGTAAATTAAGAATAGTAATGGCGTCAAAATACTTCCCTGCGGAACCCTGTGGTCTATACTTATTGCTGTCAATACAAATTCATTGATTTTGGTTACCTGTTTCCTTCCTGTGAGGTAATCACTGATCCAATCAAGTACTTTTCCTTCAATGCCTTATTTTTTGGTTATTAATATTTCACGGTTAACCGTTTCAAACGCACGTTTAAGATCTAAAAATACTGCTACAGTGTACATGCCTTTACTCATTTTATCTCTCCATTCAGTAATTGTAAGCTGAAGTGCGGAATCGCATGAATGTCTGGCTCTAAAACCAGATTGGTTTGTGTTTTGTATGTTTTTTTTTTATTGAAATATTCCAACAGTTGTTGATATACTACTGATTCTAACAGTTTTTCAGCGCAAGGTAAAGTGTTAATTGGCCGATATTCATCACATTTTTTTTGTGTTTGGAACTTTTTCGATAGGCGTAACTGTACTTGTTTTTAAATCATCTGAAAAACTACAATTTTGTAACGAGGTGTTGACAAAATTACATGACATGTCTAGTTAGTTCAAAACTACTCTTTATAATTTTGCTCGATAATGCGTCTACTTGTGATCCTTTGTTTGCTAAATTGGACACAATTACTTTCAAATCTTGAAGAGTTAGTATTTTAAAATCACTGAAACCCTCTTCATCAACGTAGTCGATGTGACAGGTAAATCCAATATCTTCAATATCAGAAATAATGTCTGTAATACTATTTACAAAAAATGAATTGAAACAATTAGCCAATTCTTGTTTTTCTCTTATAATAACTTTTTGATTATTTTTTTTCAAATTGAATACCATTAGCAAAATAGTTTTTGAACTGTTTTGGATTGATTAATTTTTTTAGAGTTTTCCACATTAAACGTGGGTTATGTTTGTTGCTGT